CATGGGAAGTCATAGACTTGGTATTAGAGATAGAAACAGGATAGACGCGGCGGCGATGGAAGCTAGTGAGCTGGCAGTAGGTTTTAAAAGAGACGTTGTCCATATATCAAAGGCCTGACCATTACACTTACTCAGAGGCTTTAGCCTCGAATTAGTCACCAAGACGCAGGGGAGGGCAAATAACGCCTTGAGTGGCACAGATGGGGTGGCAGGCGTCGAGTGAAATATATGAATCAGGGAGAGGGCAGACGGATCTTACGGGGCAGAAGAGAGACTGTGGTAAGACTTAGAGAAGGAGGTCTGCGTAACAATATAGCAGACTCTGATTAACATTCCCAGCACAAGGATGAAGCCTGGTGAGAAGGCTAGCGTGGAGTGCGGAGGGTTCTCATGAAAGCCGCTCAAAAGGGCACACTGAACCACATCTAATTAAGCAAGTAAAAAATTGTGACAGTGAAGGCGTGATTGGAGGGTATAGGAAATGTGAATAGGCCAGGGCAGAAGGGGAGATACCATAACTGTTTAGCACATGTTTGGTCAAAGAATCGGCTTGACTTGTCTCTTTGACGAGTTGTAATATGGTGCTACGATTGGCAAAACTCACTGGCAATGCCGGCGAAACGTATGGGAATGTACTACGTCCACGGTCCGACTTTGGAAATGAATATGCATGCAATGGACTCCGGACTAGATGCGTTACTCTAAGTCTTCCTAGCAATATGATGAAGTTGCGAAAACAAGGTCAAACAACTTCTTTAAATATATGAAATTCATTTGAGGAAAAATATCAATCAAAATAGATTAAAATTGTTCATCCTCAGAAAAAATATCACATTAAATAGGGCTATATCCGAAATTTTTAAAGTAGACGTTTTACGACTAAATAATGGAAGTAATTTATCAAAGCATAAAATAGAGCAACAAATTCAAATAATAATCATGCGTACATGTCGTTCCTGCCAGATATTTCGGTGAGTCGAGTTGACTGAATATTCAACCAAGAGTATAGCTTTGTAAAGGCTTTAATCATGCGCTCTGCGTGCTCCTTCTTCTCAGTAGCTCGTTTGAACTGTAACCGAAGCTCCCGGTTCCGACGCTCGCAGCATTGTGAACTTAAGCAGGCCTGGTTTAATTCTGTCAGGAGTTGGTTAATTTCAAGGTCAGGCAAGAGCGGACACTCTGAATCTAATGATGCGACTGTTCTAGTAGCCACCGCTGAATCCTCTGCAGGAACAAGGTGCTGGTTTGAGTTAAGCGGTAGCATTTGGGAAGCGTCGGAGCTAATGCCCGCCACGAAAGAGAGATGTGTACTGGTAGCAGCGCCGCTGGGATTGCCTGTTATGATACTAGAAGCATAATTGATACTTTCCCCAGACGAAAGGTCGCGAGGTCGTCGACTAGAGACGGGATGTACAAGTCGAAGATCTGAGTGTTCTGGTGTCAACTGCTGATTTAGGTAAGCCTCTATCAGTTGGCTGACTAGCCGAAAGCCGTGTTTACCCGGATCCCAAAGGTCAAAAAGGCCACCTCGATTGTATATACGAATTGGTTTATTCTCACCGCGCCATCTGGACGACAAGAGAAACAAAAAAAGTTTAAAATATGTGTATAATACGTAAAATGCAGTGAGCAGTATGAAAATGAATAAGAAAGAGTAAGAAGAAACCTATTTCCTATGAATATAAAGCGAAACATCAAATGAGCCTACATATCTAAGTTTCCTAGATAAGAAATTGCTGACTTTAATAGGCGATAAGCAATACGATAAGAATGATGCTCCTACCATCATTCTTGGAAGAAATAGGGGCAAAAGTGATAGAAGTAAGGCATTTTGGCACACTTGTGGCTCGATAATATAGAATAATGCCCAAATTCAATTAAACTTACAGTATTACTTTTAAAGTTTAGTTCACACTCAATTCGAGTTTTCGATGTAGCTATTCAAAGGTTGGCCTCAACAGAAGATGAAGGCGTATTCGTCTTAGAAAATTGTCATTTATCTTTAATGGAATATAATACTTGACATATGCAAGATGTAGTCTTGAAACCTACCTACAAATGAAGATAGTACTTCAACATATTTTTTTCCCTAAAAAATCTAAAAAATCCAAGTCTCATGGAAATCAGCAAAATTC